CATCAGCTGAATAATCTTTAAATAAAGGGGATGCTTTAAGCCAATGAATGACCTTGGTAGATAGGCAGTCAATGATTTGCTCCTTAGATCTTTCAGAACCCTGGAAGATCCTATTGTTTCTTTCTTCCCAGATTGACCACAAAACAGCTGCTCTTGTTGCTCTCCACATTGCTCTCCCCTTCTTCTTTGGAGGTCTAAAGAAGTCCGGATCAAAGAGTCTTACTACATCCGAAGGAGGGGTCCACCTGCATCCAAAGAGAGAGGAAAGCCACTTCTAAACAAAGGCTACAAAAGGACAGGATATAAATGTGTAATGGTCTTGCCACAGGCCAAGCAGAGGCTACACACGTGGGGTGAAAGGCAATAGTTTGGCCTTCTTTTTTGCAGCATATCTAAGGTGTTGATTTTCTAGAGTACTACCTCCCAGCAAAAGGCCCTTATTTTTGGGGGTACAAGGTTACACCAAACCTCCTTTGTTGGGAAGGTTCCTGCCAAGTTAGATGAAWSGAGAAGAGCATTGTAAAAAGAAGCACTAGTGAAAAACCCAGAAGGAGAGGCTGACCAAATTCTACTATCCAAGCAAGACTGATCAAGGAACAGAGTATTAAGAAGGGCAATCAGATCATCAACCATACCCATTTCGGACTCCCTCAACCCCCTCCTCAGACCCAAATCCCAAGAATTACCATTCAGATAGACAGAGGAAATGTTTTTTTCTTTATTCAACGAAAGAGAGTAGATGGACGGGAATCTATCTTTGAGGGAGACATCCCCAAACCAGACATCTTCCCAGAATCGAACTTTATTCCCTGCACAAGCATCAAGTCTGATAAATGGAAGAAATGAGGATAAAACGCCATGGATAGCTTTCCAAGGAGATGACCGGGATGCCCTAAGGTCAAGACCAATATCCCGCCTGTTTTCTGCCAGTTGATGAACATACTTAACAGAAATTCCTTTTTCAAAAATTTGTCACTGACATTTAATACTATAATCATGGCTACAAAATCCACTGCAATCACCATTTATAATTAATTAGACAGCTGTGTAACACTTGCACATTCCTACCCTGAGTTATTCATCCATATTCAGAAGTGGCCAAACATTTATGAATTGAAATATAGTAAATGTTCTTGGAAATTACTTGAAGTAGAAGTGATTGGATCCTTCCACAAGATGCATGGGCATAAATAATCAAATTTCAGTTTCAGCATCAACCCTGTTAGTTCATGGTTCAGACCCAGCACAGTAAAAGAAGGGTATCTTCTTTTTATGTATGAGCATCATTGAAGTTGCCATCCCCCTTAACATTTTTAAAAGATGCAAGAATTGCAGAGGAACTCCAAGGTACAGAAACAGATCAGAAAAAAACATACTACCCCCCCCCCTCGTCTTGTGTAGCCCCTTTTGCTTATATGTAAAAAAAGATCAGAAAAATAAAAAGTTAGAATATAATACATGCTACACATTTTTTTTGTGTTAAGATGAACTACCGCATGTGTAAAAGTCCAGACTTGTATCATGCAAGGAGATGAGGGGATATCAACAATTTTCTCTAGTAAGTCCAATGAATGGGGTAACAATACAGTCGTGATTGGCTATTCATCAGAAAAAAAAATATAGTCATGATTGACAACATTTGGAATGAAAGGAACCCAAATGAATCATTGGATTTTCAGTAACTCCTATCTATTGTCCAAACAAATTATTACCGATTTACTTTTGATTGATCACTTTTGACTGTAAAACATGCTTGGTGCATATTCAGAGTTAATAGGGGTCACTTTTTGGGTTGGCAACATGAAGCATCAATTCAGATTCATGTATTTCCTAAAATCTGGGTTGGTTGCTATTCCATCCATCCATCATCCAAATCTTACCCCAACTGTATGGGGTTGGCTACATGAATCCTTTTTCACCATTCTGCTCCATTTAATGCCATTGAGCGTGAAAAGACGAATCATGATCCATGATCATGAGAAGCACTTATGGGTTTGTGATGAGGACAGATTCATTAAATGTCATGATTGCCTCAAATAATGTTATAGCACGGCTGCCGGATTGTCTAAATGATGGTATCACATTTCCATCAGAAGCTCATGCTAAACCTATTGTTATTAACTCATTGGTTATGAGTTTTAGTTTAGATTATATTTATTTTGCACAGGAAACCAAAGTATGGAGATCATGCGTGAACAAAATTTTGCAACAGATTTTTAAGGAGGTTCTTTGTTCCCCAAGCGAATACCTCCGTGACCTCTTGAAGGCTATTCAAAGAGGATGCTAAAGCTTGTAGGTTACATGAGATCGTAAAATCCACCCACCCCAGTCACCTGATATAATTAAAATACATCCCCACCCACGCAACACAGACACAAAAAAGGAAGTATAACTGCAATAAATAAAATAAGAACATATATTACCTGTACAAAAACAGTTCCTCGTTCATAGGCTAATCTGTTCACCAGACGTTGCGATCTTTCACCACAGGCGTTGCACGTAAACTGTACAAGCAAACTTCTCCTGGGGAGCTTTATGTCAATGGTTGGTTCCTGCATAGAGTTGATATTAAAAAGAAGTAAGAGTTGGAAAAAATTATATGCGATTCAGGTTGCCCAAGTTCCTTGAATTTTCGAAAGGAAAAAGGGGGAAATACATGGAAGCCTCAGATGGAAAGATGAATAGCAAACGCCTGTTGATCTGCTATGCACTGGGAAAAAAAAACAATTTTTACATAGGAAATGCCTTCTCTGAGTGCAACATTAATGGAAGGTGATTCTATTAAAAATCCTAGAAAATACGCCTTTGAGCAGGAAGAAAAGAACGGATAGGAAGAAGCATGAATCTGTATGAAATAGGTTGCAAGACCATATTATGTAGATTAAATATACCCTTAGAGATGTATCATCTATATAGTTTTCTTCAGGTGGAGGTAGTTCAGCGATATCGTCCTCTAATGCTCGCCGCCGCTTCTGCACTACTGACACTGCTCGATGAGAAAGAATTCGCGAACTGTAAATTATTCAGAAGTATTGCATTGCCCATCAAAGTGCTATCTTACCCAAATAGAAGAAATTAAAACACACACACACATACAGAGAGAGAAAAAGAGAAATCGGGATCAAAATCTGAAGCCCTAGACAGGAGGTGAGAAGGGTTGCAGACCTGGGGAAGATGACAATCTTCCTTGATTCAGGGTTAAATCTGAGGAAGTTGCGGGTGGGAGCAAGAATGGTAGCTTGACGAGGCTGGACAGTGTTGGGCTGAATCAGAAGAGAAATGGCGGGAGTGACCGTTGCAGCCATTCCTCCTTGATGCGGGAACTAGAAAAGAGAGGGAGAGGAATGAATGGTCGACTAGACTACTCCACTCCGTCTTCACTCTTCAGTCTCCATCCGCACGCTATTCGATAGACGCATGAGATGAAGAGATGTTAATAAAGGACACATCTGTCCTATAGGCTATATACCTTAACATCAATTTGGGCGTCCAATTAATACCCAAAGCCCAAGCCCAAAAAGATTCCATTACTTCTGATGGGCTAGGCCGCAAGGGAATGTCTTGGGCCTAGGCCCATAGAACGCCTAGTTGTTGACTTGGTACATATTGATATTGACCAACCAGGATATAAACAAGGGTCTTGTTTGCGCTGTACGTCTACGTTTCCATTCCGTCTGAGACAGTCTAAGAAGAAAGATGCAGCGAGAATAATTGATATATCTGTAGCTCTGCAACCAGGTCGTAATGAGAAATTAAATGTGAAGATTAGAGAAAGAAATCCTTCAAGGGTTATTGATTGAAAAGGTGCCAACCAACTGGTTGGTAAAGTCAAGTCTCCTGCTGGTTGTAGCAGAGACTTGGGGTCGAATCCCACATTCCCACCTACACCTGGGGTTGGACTTTGGAGGGGTTATGAGTTGGGGGATGGGCTACCCCCGGCGGTTTACTTGGTAATGAAACAAGTTCATTTATAGAGATAACATCTACTATATTGAAAGATACAGCAAGATAATTCTACACATTTATTTATTATTATAAGGTCGGTCGATAGTATGATGGGTGATCGGTCCAAAGCCCCAGCCAAATGGACGACGGACTACACACGGACTCAGATTGTGTTCATGGCAAAGCAAATATACCTTGAGCTTGATTGTTGATGCTGAATATCAACCCCCTGAGCTGTCAGCAAAAGAGAACATCCAGCCTAAACTCAGCCGCAGGAGAAAAACGATGCCGCTGCTAGGGCTGCGAACAGATTGGATATTTGGATTGGACTCGATTAAGGATATATCCGATCTAATCTGATGATAAGAAATCATACTGATCCGAGTCCCATAAGAATCCGTTTAGTTAAAGGATCGAATATACCGGCTAAGCGAATATAGACGGATAGACCAGCCACAGCCAATGATGCTGCGATTCAGTCAGGACTCAGGACACTCCGAGTCCGACCCACTCTGGTTCAGTTAGGTTGGATTTTTCCGATGGCTCAAGCCTCAAAAGCTGGTTTCTACCAAGGAAAATAACAACCAACAGCTCGGTTCCCCGCATCATTGCATATCTCATTTTTAAGAGTTTGATTTATGCAAAATCAATGCTAGTCAATTTTCATAAATAGCCTTTTTCCAATAGGAATTTTAAAATGTTTGATGGCACAAAACATGACTAAAAAGTTGAAGCTTTTCTTTCTCAAAAAAACAATAAAGTTAAAAGTTTTCTTAAGCCCCAACTATCCACAATCATTTCGTTACTCTTCCCTGTCGGGTGTCAAAACAAAATGACATTTTTCCATGTTTGGTACAACGGATTAGTGTATTTGGAGCAATCAGATTCAAAATTATGCAATTCTCTTGAGTAAAATCCTACATCTCATCAATCTTCAATTACTACTCTTCTTCCACTTCATCAGAAAAAAGTCCCCAACGTTTCGCTATCTCTGACTTGCAGTAATTCTTTCTTGATGAAGGCCGTTATTATGAATTGTACCACAATAACCGCCAATGTATATGATTGAATTCTCAGATACTGAGGGAAGAGAGACTGGGATCTAGAGGATCTTCCATTTATACTCCAATGCGTTGCATATCCGTCCAATGCAACATGCAGCACTCAGTGGATAATTAGAAACTACAATATGAGAGAAAACAGAGGATTATGACTGGATTCAACACTTATGTTTGATCTAAGCAAAATTAAAAATGTCAAATTTGAATAAAATAACTAAGAATTTGAAATAATTGATTATATAATCCACTTCATATTCACCAAATTAGCAGAGATGCATTACTTAATGGATAACCAGGAATTACAAAAGAAAAGTTCTAGCATCATAAACAGAACACACAACATACTGTTAGCCAGGAATTTTGAAATTGCTAATCAACCTAGAAAATGCTCAAATCAAGTATTTTAAGAATGCTAACCAACACTCAATATTGAAAAAAAAATCAGGTACCCAGAAAAAGGATAAACGTAACCCAGCAAATCCTTAATCCAACTAGTTGGGGTCAGCTGGTACAAATCTTGTCAGACTAGTGCACCTCATCAAGAGTCGTGATTTCAGTCAAATTGTGAGAAACAGGATTAAAGTGATCTTCAAATTTGAATAATCAGTCACGCATACAGAGAGCCAATAGAGCTCTAATTTTTAAATTTTGGGGCAAAATATATCTTCGTTTTAAATGATATCCAGTTTGCATTTGATTTGATCACGTGCAGCAAAGACATTACAATGACAATAATCACCAATATGCACAAGCAAGAATATTGACATGGCATCCCAGTCCAGCTCTCATCTTGCTTCTGCCAGCATGGATGCTTCCAAACCATCCCTGTGCTCTTGATCATACCAGCAATTATCACTAGAGATATGACACTTGAACAGACTCAGTTGATCAATCCAGAGTACAGGCCAACTATGGCTTCAGACGTCCCTTCATAGACAAGGAAGAAACTCGCCAACCCCTCCTCCCTTTTCGTGCCAAACACCTCAGCAGACTTCAGGGAGTTCTCCTACCCCTCTTTCTTCTGGCTTTCCTCATCCCCAGCACCCCCCCCCCCCCTTCATGCCTCTCACCGAGTTTCCCCTCCCTGTTGTTTTCCAGGTTCAAATGGATCAGCTTCCAACCCTAAGCAGAGTGATACACTTCAGAGAGCTGCTCCATCAAGGTTTGGTAGGAAGGTCATGGAGAACACAGGAGACGGTAATATAAGTAGAGCCTTGGGGATAATTAGAAGGGAGGAAAGTGACAAGGAACAGAGAGCAACTGAAAAAAAACAATTTAAGAATGGGAAACTTCAGGAGAAAAATGGTAAAAAGGGCCCCAAAAGAGAACTAAAGAGGCTCCAACGGTGATTGTTGGACGGCTCCTCAGATGGAAATAGGATGAATAAGGGAAGTTCTGTAACAGTGGCTCAAAGAAGGTTCTAAGTTGGAATGTCAGGGGTTTGGGAGGTCAGCTCAAAAGGAGTCTAGTAAAAGAAACTCTAGAAAGAGAGAATCCAGATATAATCATCTTACAGGAATCAAAAAAGGAAATTGTCGACAGAAGACTTATGAAAGCTATCTGGGGAATAAGGGGAAGGAAATGGACCTCTGTCCCTGCAGTAGGTTCTGCAGGTGGAATTTCTGTAGCCTGGAAGGAAGAAGAAATTTCAGGTCTGGAGATAGATAAAGGGGAATTCTTAGCCTCAGTCTTGCTCACCAATTTAAAGGATGGGTTCAGCTGGATTTTAACCGGAGTTTATGGCCCAAACTCACCCTTAGAGAAAAATTTTGGGACGAACCGGATTCCTTGCATGAGGCTGAAGACATTCCGTGGTGTTTAGCAGGACATTTCAATGTAACCAGATTCAATCAAGAGCATTCCAATGGCAGAGCTCCAACCAGAAGCATGAGGAATTTATCCAACTTCAATTTCAGACACAACCTTTGTGACCTCCCCCTTAGTAATGGTCTCTTGACCTGGTTAAATATGCAAGAAAATTCCATAAGTTGTAGACTTGACAGATTTCTGTTATCTCAGGAATGGATGGAAAAATTCCCCAACCTTTCCCAAGAACTCCGCCCTCGTTGTACCTCAGATCATTGGCCAATATTGCTGAATACTGACAGGATCATAAAAGGAAAACCCCCTTTCAGACTGGAAAAATTCTGGGCTTCTCACAAAGACTTCAAAAAGAAGGTTGCAGCTTGGTGGGAAGAATGTGGAGTAGAGGGTTGGGCGGGATTCAGGCAGTTACAGAAATTGAGTACTTAAAGAGAAACCTAAAATCTTGGGGTAGAGAAGAATTTAAAGCCCATGAAGAAAAGAAGAAAAGAACTCTCTCAGATTTAGAGGAGTTAACAGAAGAGAGCAAAATGGTATCCTTGATGACTCAAGCAGGAGTAGAAGATCTGAATTGAGGAAGACATGGGAGAAGATAGTTAGAAAAGAAGAAATTTACTGGAGACAAAGATCAAGAGTGAGATGGCTGAAAGGAGACAATAACACTAGATTCTTTCACGCTTATACCTCAGGAAGGCGTAGAAAAAAACTTCATCTCCAAGATAAAAGTGGACCAAAGGGAAGTGGAGAATCCTGAAGAGATTAAGGAAGCTTTTCTCTCCTTCAAAATCCTGTACTCGAAGGAAAATAATAACTATTTTACTTTGAACAGGTGGGAAGGTACAGTTCTATCAGCTGATAAGAAAGAGGGGTTGGAAAGAAGCTTTTGAATTTATACCTTATTAATGATGGCAGAGGAATGGAAGTCCTTGAAGAACTCTATCAGATCTGTTTTCACAATTTCCCAACATTTCTCTGCCTCATCCCAAAGAAAGGGGGAGTTCTGGAGGTCAAAGACTTTAGACCAATAAGCTTGATAGGGAGCATCTATAAAATTCTGGCAAAGGTTTTGGCAAGAAGACTCAAAGAAGTCCTAGGAGACCTAATCTCCCCAAATCAATTTGCATTCGTAAAAGGAAGACAGATAGTGGACAGCATTTTAATAGCAAATGAATGTGTGGAAGAAAGGAAAGTCTCAGGGAAACCAGGGATCCTTGTCAAACTAGACCTTGAAAAGGCTTATGACAAAGTGGAGTGGAACTGTATTCTAGACTGCTTAAAGATGAGAGGCTTTGGTGAGAGATGGATCAGGTGGATTAAAGGCTGTATTGGTTGGTTCCTCTTGGTTTTCAGTGCTGATTAATGGAGAACCTAAGGGCTACTTCAAGGCTAGCAGGGGGGCTCAGGCAAGGTTGCCCACTTTCCTCCTTTCTCTTCACCCTGGTAATGGACATCTTTTAACTATCTTTTCGAAAAGGCCAACCTGCTTAATCTTGTGAAAGGTTTTGAAATGGGAAGAAGCAAGATTCACATTTCCCATTTACAATTTGCTGATGATACCATCTTGTTCTTGGATGCCACTCTTTTCAACATCACAAACACAAAGAAGGTAATTGAATACTTTGAATCAATCACATGATTAAGGGTTAACTATTCCAAAACTAGCCTAGTAGCACTAAATGCAGTGGAAGAGGAGCTTCTAGAAAATTTTAAATCTTTATTTGGGTTGCAAAGAGGAGAAACTTCTTATCTCCTATTTGGGGATGCCCCTTGGAAGGAATCCAAAAACATTCAACTTTTGGGGACCGGTAATAGAGAAATGTGAGAAGAAGTTAGCATCTTGGAAGAAATACCATCTTTCAAAAGGGGGAAGGCTTACTCTCTTAAAGGCCTCTTTAGCAAATCTGCCAATCTACTTCCTTTCAGTCTTCCAGATTCCAACCAAAGTCAGGATTCAGATTGAAAAGCTTCAAAGAAACTTCCTTTGGGAAGGAGGAGGGGAGAAAAGAAGCCACCTAGTTAGTTGGGAACAAGTTTGCAAGCTAAAGGAGGAAGGAAGTTTGGGAATTGGGCACTTGAAAGAAAAAAACTCCTCTCTTTTAGGGAAATGGCTCTGGAGGTTCCCTAAAGAACCCAATGCTTTATGGACAGCTGTCATCACAAGAAAATACGAATCCAATACCAAATTATCAATGGGTGGGATAGCAATCTCCATTTGAACAGGATAAAGACAACAAATCCTTGGAAAGGTATAGCCTCCACTCACACCTTGTTCTTTCCTTCTATAAGATATGAAGTGGGAAATGATTCAAAAATAAAATTCTGGAAAGATCTCTGGTGGGGAGATTCAACCTTAGCTGCCTCTTTCCCTAGATTTTTTAACCTCACCCTTGACCAAGATGCCACTGTCTCTTCCTGCCTTCCAGACCAAACTGCTGAAAACTTCCTAAACCTTAGCCTTAGAAGACCTTTAAGGGACATAGAGATTTCTGATCTAACTGCCCTTTTTCAGACCCTGAAGGAAGCCTACATCTCCCCCTCCCCCTCTGATACCCGAGTCTGGACTCTCCAGACAAATGGCACCTTTTCTTCTAAGTCTATGTTCAAGGCCCTAACTGCAGGTGAACTTAACCCCTCCTTCCCCTTTAAAAAGATTTGGTGCAGCCATGTCCCAACCAGAGTCTGTTTTTTATTTTTTGTATGGGAAGCTTGCCTTTAGAAATTAAATACTAATGATCTCCTGCAGAAGAAACATTTGGGAAGACTCTCTATCTCACCTCATGTCTGCATCTTATGTTTAAATGAAGGAGAATCATCAGATCACATCCTGCTTCACTGCAAATTCACCCAAAACATCTGGCTTCATTTCTTGAGAAAGATAGGTTACAATTGGGTTATATAAGAGCACATTCAAGACTTCCTGCAGCAGTGGCAAGGAATAGGACTAAGCAAAAGGGGAAAATTTTATTGGCAATCTGTTTTTCATGCAGTGACATGGGGAGTTTGGGATGAAAGAAACAAACGCCTCTTTGAAAATAAATTTAGGTCACTTGAAGAATTAATTTCTGATATAACATACCTTTGTAACCTCTGGACAGTCAATTCAGATTTGTTCGAAGGAATTTCAATTAATGATCTCAATAGAGAGTTTAACTCCTTTCTCTTTCTTTCTCACCCTCGTCAAACAACCCTGAAACAAATCCTCTGTAATCTCTTGGGGATCCTCCCCTCTTCTTTTGTACATCTTCTCATGTACTTGTTCTTTCTTTAATGAAATCTGGCTATCTTTCTTTCAAAAAATGATCATCTAAGGGGGCTTTGATAGCAGCTGAAATGGTTGAACTAAAAAGATTTGTCTTTTAGTGAATAAGGCTCCTGAATTACAGAAGCTGAAATCGAATAGATTACTATAACCTTGAACATTTTATTATTTATCCACTACCCGTTCAGCCCAGCAACTTCAGCCATTATCAAACAACCCCTAAATTCAATTTCTAAAATCTTCTGTCACCTCTAACTGAAGTTGCTAAACTTTGTTAGACATCCCTTAAACAACCCATGTTAAGATTATACAATACACTCTCAAACATTTCTGCTTTCAAAAAGTGCAGTTTCTCCAACTCATCTTTATCCCATTATATCACAGCTAGCCAACTACATTGATAGGATTTTCAAACTTCAAAGTATAAAGAGAGATTGAAGTTGGGTATATCATTTTACATAATGAGTGACCAAGCTAACTTCCTGAAACAAAGTTTTTCCTAAACTTGAGAGTCTTCAAAATTTTTCCAACCATTAATTTCCATGCAACCCAATCTCTTTCAGCATTTATTTTGTCCTTTATAGCTTTCAGGCAGGGGATTTGGCTTCCACAGAGAGAATCATTAAGATCTACCTAGAGAAATACTCCTAAACCACAAATAATAACTGAACACAACCTTATCCCAACTATTTCAGTTGGCTATGTGAGTCCTGTTTCACAATTCCATTCTGTAAAGGAACAAATTCCATCTCCTCGTGTCTTTTTCTTACTACTTCAACTCAAGTTTTGTGTTATTACTTTTAGAAATCACAATTTAGGTCTTGTGACACCTCACTAGTACAGCGGTTGGTTCTACATACACAAGACTAAACCATCTTAGAAACCAACAGCATACTAGAGAAGATCAAAGAGTGGGACAAAATAACCTAAACAATTATCAACAATGAAGAAATGAATATTTAGCACCACTTACATCTTCTAGGATACAGAAATTGGCACAATTTTTCCCTCTAATCAACTTGTCAATTGTAAGAACCTTTTCTAGTTATATTAAGAGGATGGAAGTTTCCAATGAGTTTATTCGAAAATGAGTAGCATCAGGAGCCATATAGGAGAAACTGAAACTCACCCTCAGATTCATTACATCCATCTTCACATTGGGCAAAGATAGAAACGTGAAGTATGACTACTTCCTACACTGGTGCAAAAAATCTTTATACATGTTCATTATAAGAACAAGCCAAGACTGAACCTAAATTTTCCTTTAATAATCGGTTTCATGACTGCATGTCTCACCCAAATGTCCAAGAGGATCTAAAGTTTCATGCCTTCCATTCTTACCAGCACCAATGGTGGTCTATTCTACCTAGAGTAAAGGCATAATCTGAATGGCTTTCAACTGACCTAGTCCATCATAACCTTACTTTGTGGCATGGCTTAATAAACTTTTAATAGGAAGTAGGAACAATCTTCAGAGTAACATGATATAACAGTCTTTTAACGTCCAACCCTAAGGTCAACCAACAAAAGAATACATGCCCCCCAGTTCAACAGACAGACTAAACAAGTTTGACATGGAGATGCACGTGTGTTGTATCTTCTTGTGCAAATAACCTTCTAACTTAATTTCCTGCTCTTCCTTTTCCCATTTCAAGGGGAGTAAGTGAAGTTCTCCTGTTTCTATATCTCCAAAACTCCTCCAGCTGTTCCTCATTGCTTTCTTTTCAAAATGCTTGTCTCTTTGTCTCTGTCACTCCCCTAAAATTGAACTTTTCCCTTTCCTTCTTTAGGTTGCATTTGGTTTCAGTGCAAACTTGACCAGATGCAAAATTTTTACCCAGTTCAGTTTTACTTTCATTTGTTTGTAATTATGTTTTGCATTCCTGTCTGATACAAAATTTGTACTTTTTGTCTCTTTTGCACTCACTGGCAGTGCAAATTTGACATCCCAAAAACTGATGCAAAATTTGCACCACCTTCCTCCTATCTCAATTCTTTCTCATATAAAGTGGGGACCGCATTATCTTGCATCCTACCTTACCCCTAGACAGATAACCCTCCTACTTCTATTCTCTTTCATTTAAAGTGGAGGTCACTTCATTTTACTTCTCACAAACAAGGCAAAGTCAAACCTAAAGCAAAAACAAACCAGAATTTACACTCAGCCCTTTTGCACCCCCAAGCATTTATTTACACCAAGGCAAATGAAATTTGTGCTGCAACCAATCACAGCCTTAGTTTGCCGTCACTCGACTCACTCCTCTATCTCTATTTCCTCACATCCTCTTACTCTTACTCTCTATTCTTTTTTCTTCCTTTTTATGTTTCCTTAAGATTGTGATTTGTGAACAAGTACCATCTCAGAAATGCCTAGCCGGGTCTTGCAGTGTTCCTGGGTCTCCTCATCAAAATACTAATAGTGCAGATAAGTTGCTAGGTAGACCAACCAAACCAGCATCCAGCTCTCCAGTTTGATAACAATTGTGTGCCCATACCTTCTACATTTGAAATATGTCAACTAGTAATTAAAGAGCTTAAACCTTAAAAGTCAAACATCCAGCTCTCCAGTTTGACTAATTTCCATTTATATTCTAAACAATGAGCATACAAATAACCAGTCAATGACAGAAGCCAGTTTGGCCAACAAATATATGCCAGTAAAAAACTTCCCTGCAGAGTATCGATTTGTCAAATGCAAAATAATTGGGCAAAGCAGGGGACCCTCAGGGAAAATTTTTTTTGGTCTGTATTGTAAGCTTTGAGATATGTTTGGGGTCAACACTCATGCTCTGAGTGGTTGACATTGTATTAACTGTTATTTTAATGAAGGTTATCGTTTCCAATAAAAAAAGCAAAATAATTGAATAATTTTTTTTTCTTTAACCTTTGACAAGATAGCCAACAAAGAATAATGCAAATCAAGAAAAACTTACCTGATATAAAATCATCAGTATACTCCTGATCTATTTTCCCATGGGCCATTGCACCAACCTGGAGATAAATAAAGATAGTAGTAAGAATAAACTGAGGCAATAACCATTAAAAAAACTAAGAACAAAACAGAAACAATAAATACAAAGAAAAAAAGAGGTCGAAAATTTAAATCTCTTTAAGGTACCACAAAAACAAGTTGCTGGTCATCGCCAGCTGCAGCAACATAGTCCCGTAACTGAACCAACTTATTTGAACTAAAAGAGAGACCTGAAATGCAATGAAATTTTTAATAGCATATCACATAACACTCAATCCAATGAACACACTTGTACAATGTCAAATCTTCACCTATTTTACGAGAATCAGGGGGTAAATACTGGGTTACAGGGTTCTTGATAACACGCAAAAGTTTTTCACGCTTTCCGGTAGCAGTCACACTCAACTTTTGTAGTAGCTGCACTGCAGTGATCATAAAGGATAGTCAGAGACAAAAATAAAACAAAATAAGATCCTATAAAAAGTGAACAACAGAATAATATCACAAAGAAATAAATGGAACTGTTTAACTTACACATGAGACCATAGAATCGTTTACTTGTTCTTGGCATGCGAACATATGGTTTTACTTCAAAAAGTACTCCTTTCCCAGTTTTCACATAGACAGCTTTTATCATCCCGGCCTTATTAAGTGGACTATCCAAAACCGCAAGGAGAGCCTGAACATTTAACAATTTGTGGCAAATCATGCATTTTATAGAAAAAATAAGCATGTAGGTATTCATGGTACAATAGAAAGGAGTTAACCTAGTTAACAAATTGGATGGCCTATATTTTAAGTCAGTAAATCAAAATTCTTCTTTGGAGTTTTACACATTAAAAGATTCAGGGGGTTAAGTGACTAAGGTATTTAGTTTTCCTCCGATTGATTACACGCTAGAAAAAATATGAAGTAAAGGCTACATTTGTCTCCATGTAAAAGGGAAAGAATGCAACAGTGAAACAAATGGACGAGGTAAAGTTGAATTTCTAAGACAATTTGTAAAAACCAAAAGATGGAGCCTGTGATGAAAAATTCGAAGTAACCTGGTGAATAATGTCAGGCCTGTAGTCTGCAGGATTCCTGTTATTCTTCCGCAGAAAATTGGCGTGGTCGTCTGAATTCAAAATATGATAAGTCTGAACACATTGAAATAGGGAAATTAGAAATTAGATCCTAAATTCGCATGAGAAGAACAAATGCTGGACTACACCCCATGAATAAACCCCCAAAACCTAAACTTGGATCCATTCAAGAACAAAGAAGCTCCGTAGAAAAGTAAACCAAAACAAATCAAATTAGCACCAGAGATGACCCTAATTCTTAAACCCAAAACCCTAGGAGGAGAATAATATGATGAAGAAGAACCAAAAATAAATAAATAAACAAATTGGAGCGCTGTTAGAAATATATAAAAGAAAAGGCGAACCTTTCCGACTTTGGCGACTTCCAGACAAGCCTTTTCGAGGACGAAGATGACCCCAGCCTTGGTCTTCTTATTGGAAGGTGCTACTGGAATTCCCGGAAGCACAACTATGGCCTCTTCTGCTTTCTTCTCTTCTTCTTCTTCTTTTTCTTCTTCTTCTTCTTCTTCTTCTTCTTCTTCTTCTTCTTCTTCTTCTTCTTCTTCTTGTCTTGCTCTCTTCGTTGTCATCTCCTCTTGTTGTTCTTCTATTTCTCCTTCATCTATATCGTATCTTTCCGCTTTCTTCTTTCGCTTAATCCCTTTTACTGCATAAGGCCTCACCATCTCTTTCTGCACTCTGTGAGTGTTTTTGCACGGCTCAGGTAGTTGAACCGTGGAAGCAGCACAAATAATAGAATTTTTTTCCCGGTTCTTCTCTTTCTTTCCACAATGACGGACAACCAAATTCAGTTGGGGTGACGAAGAAAAGTAGAAAACCTAGCTTCTGGTCCTGGCCTCCTGGCTAATAATAACTACACCATAAGAACTGTGTAGCATCTTACACTTCTCCTGTATGATATGAAAAATGTGAGGATCCGTGGGAAATCGGCTTTGGTGCTCACAACACCGTGTTCACACTTTACATCGTTCGCACAAAATATCCCCTTTCCCCTCGTACAAAAAACATACAATTACAGAAATATTTCCGGTGCACGGTGTAAAAGGTTATACGAACGGATGAGTACTGAAGCGAATCTCGTCCGTGGGTCAGAGGGTCCAAAAATTCTGATGCATTGGTGACCATGATTTCATAGAACACGTGGCAAGTTATGAGTACCGTGTACGTTGAATTAGCATCAACACCCCACAGCGTGCGCCCTGCAATATATGAAGTATCTCCCCAATGACAAGTGTAGGAGATGCTCCTAATGTATGCTGAGATGTGTTTATGGGCCTGCTCTATGAGGCGCCAATCTCATTTTGTATGACTATGCCCATCCATGAGTCATGTTGTTCCATGCATGCGATTACGGGTGCAAGTTCCTTACGGTTAGATCGGGTTGAGGTCAACCCTAGGTTCTGAACTCTCAATCATAGACATCAAATCAGCCCCCCACTAGGACTGTTTATAAGAAGTCCCAATCCAATCAAATCGACCAACCCGAACCGATCCAACCCGAGTCGATCGGGTTTTCATCAGTACAGGTCGGTTTTGGGTTGTGCAAATTCTTAAACCGATGATTCGAGTCGGTTTTCGAAATCGACCCGAACTGAACCGACTTAGTTCCTAGTTCAAACATGAAGTTCCAAAGCCCATTAGGCCACTTAGTTTTTGAATGGTTGCAAGAAACTTTGGATTAGTGAATRGTGATTAATGAACAACTTTTGTGATTAACTTTTCATTTAAATTTTATCATAGGAGATGGCTGAAATGATGTTCAATTTATGACTGTTTTTAAAATTAGCAAGATTTTGTCACATGAATGAACTTAGAACCCAAACCGACCCAACCTGACTCAAACCGACCAGGTCGGTTTTGCTTAACATTGGGTTGGTTTCGATTTCTATGTCAGGTAACCCGACCAAATCGGGCCGATTGGAAAAACTGCAATAAACCGACCCAACCCGACCTGTGAACAGCCCTACCCCCCACAACGGAAGATGTGCAGTGGAATGTTGTGGAGGGCAATCTTGTGGGGGGTTGATTTGAACTCCCAATCGTAACCCTAACAACCCAATCAGTCTTGACTCTAACCCAATTTAAAATCTTACATGGGGTAATTTCAGGAAATTGAAAGACATCCCCCAAAGGATTTTGTGCTTTGTATGGAGACGTTTGAGCCGAGCTCTCCCAACTAAAGTGGCCTTGGCAAGATTCAGTCCTAAATTTGATCCCAAATGTGAATTGTGTTTTGATTCAGTTGGAGATCTTGATCATGCCTTATTTTAGAGTTCAAATCAACGTCCCATAGCACATCCCTGTCGAGTATTGAGAATATTTTCCGATGATGACATCATCATTTTTGGGATTATCATCAGGAGATGTTCCCAATACACAACGGGAATGTATTGTGACATGTCATGGGGGCAATCTTGTGGGGGGTTGATTTGGTCTCTTTATTTTAATGGTGTTTGGAAGCGTGAGAATTTTTTGGAACCAATTTTCAAGAAAAAATGCTCATGCTTCACAGATCCATTTTTCATAAAAAAAAAAAAACGTTTTGATTTTGTTTGGGAGTGTTTTCTGTCCTATAGGCAGTGAACAACACTATGCTGTTTGGTAAGATGATTTTCATCGCCAATTAATCAATCGTTGGGAGCAATGGTTCACCGATGCATGAAATGTCAAATTTGACGTTTCATGCATTGGTGGAGTCCCGATTTACAAGGCATGTCCATGGTTCAAGCATTTTTTCAAAAAAAAAAGCGTGAAACAAACAGTCATACATATGGGCATCTGTTGAAATGCATGTGGATCCAACATGGCACCATTTTTCACAAAAATGGCCACGGTTCCAAACATTCCCTTTATTTCCGTGCAGTGCGTGTTGTTTGATTTGGCTCTCGTCTCACCATTAAGACTCAGGATAAGCCTAACTGGAGCATTGAATATTGGCTTTCCTACTGGTGGCAAAATGATCACTCCATCAATGAAAGTGACATCAATGTTTTTTGCAAGTTCATTGTTATTTTGTGGAATTGTTGGAAAGCCAGATGCCGCAGAACCATGGAGAAAATCTCTGTTAGCCCAGAATCAGTTATTAATGCAGCACATTATCAGATAAATGAGCCGGTTCTCTTTAAGGCCCACAATTCTGGTTCTCCAAGTCTTCCCGCAGCAGCACCACCTCTCACCAGCAGCAACATTCCAACTCATTGGGAACCCCCTCATCTCCATTTATCAAACTTAATGTTGATGAAGCAAATGGTGATTCTGTTTCTGGGCTTGGTATTGTGATTAGAGATCATTAACGTTAGGGCTTAAGAATTAAGACAAAGGGATTATGATTGTATATAGTGGAAACTACAATACATATAGGGATGGTATTTTTACTCATAAAACTGGGCCTATTGGGGTGGGTTTTCCCCAATCTTAAATAAGGAAGAGGGAGAGATAGGGTTTTTATCAATGTTTTCAACCCATCATTGGCTCGGCTGGTTGAATCCTTTGAACCGTCACCCGACCAGGATTCCGGGTCTGGTTCAGTCAAGACCCATCAGACAGCCAAAAATCATTGACTTGGTCAAGAACTATTTAATCCGGTGATCGGGTTGCGGGTTGTACACTCAATGCATGCAAAACTTTTGAAAACCATAACTTCGCACTACAATGTCCAATTGGGGTGATTTTTTTTTTTATTTTGGGTAACTTTTCAAGATCTATGCGTCCCAAAGAGCTGTAGGCACCTTGCCCTGCTATTTTCGCAAAAAATAACCATTTTTTGGCCTCAAATTGAATTTTTTAATATTTTTTATAAACTAAAAAAATAAAACTGAATTTAAACAATAAATATAACATATCTAAAACATATTTATACATTATTTATTGCTAAAATATATATGTATACACATATATACACATATATATGTGTATATATGCGATGGCGTGGCACGGTCTAAACCGTTCGACCTGACCGATTGAACCGATGACCCGCAACTTGGAGGCAAAAACGGTTTGGCGTTGAATCGGTTTCTAAAACATTGGTTTTCATATAATTTCTAAATCCACCCTAAATCTAATAGTAAATTAGCAAGGTACCAACTAGCTAGTTGGTTAGGTTTCTATTGGTCGTGGCGGAGAGTTGGGATTTTGGGATTCCCGCAAAAATCAATTTTAACCCTATCTTGCTCATCAATAACAAGTAATGAAGAAGTGTAGGAGAATTTTGGCCTACAAATTAGGCTGAAAATACAAGCTTATATGGGCCCAGGTCAAGCTTTTAACCAAGCTAAATGATCAGTCCTAATGAGGAGATTTTCAAATTTGAACAACCTGCCTAAACCTAACGATCCAATCCATCCTAAGTTATGTTGGGTTTAAAATAGCAAAATTGACGAAATTAGGGTTTGAGTTGGCAAAATTGGGCTTTGACCTTAGTCTTTGGCCAAGCCTATTGTTTATGTTTACTTTTTTTCTCTATTTTCTCTTTTTTTTGCTTTTTTTTTGTATTTTTTTTTTGCTGGACAAGTGGAGTACGAGAGTGGTATCCCTCCTCCCCAAGGGTTCAGATATGCTACCAACAATCACTTCCAACATTGTCCCAACATGAAGTTATTACAGTCACACATCAGAAATATCTCCCCATGAATGATAAGAGAGATGTTCCCAATGTGCGGCTGCAGTGGCCTGTTGGGATACTGTTTGGAGTGTTGTGTTGGTAGCAGATCCTTACCCCCTCCCCAAAACCCAAGATCCCCCACCGAGCCACCCCTTGATGAATAGTCACTTTGATCAATAGTAAATAATTTAGGCTTAAAAAGTAAATAGTTTACATTAATTCACATTAATTTATCGTTATTGTAAATAACTAATTTACTATACATTTTTGCTAATCAACAACAATTTCAATATTTTTTGGAAATTATCATAAATATTATAATTTATTGTTATTTAATTTACTATTAGTTAATTAGTTATAGAAAATTGTTAGAATTGTAGAGATGACAATTTTCCTTGTAAAACTATGGCTCTATCCTACCTCACCCCAAACAGGGAAAAATTTCTCGAATTTTAAATAGGGATGGGGAAGTGACAAGGTTGGGATGGGGAAAATATTTTTGTTCTAAATCAGGGACGGGGTTTTGCATATAATTCCCCAAACTAGATGGTAAATTAGTAAAATATTAGTAGATTTCATATTAATTTTTAAAATATCTTTAAATTTTTCTCATATTCTTATAATCCTAGGATCTCACAATTCCATTTATAAAATATCCCTAAATTGTCATAGTCCAATTTCTAAAATTCCCATAATCCTATTTGTAAAATATCCACAAATTAGATTATTTTTAAGTGGTTGCCTCGACGTGGGGAAAATTTGGGGATTCCCCATCCCTAACAGGGAATGGGTGCCTTGCCTTGAACCCGCCCCACCACCGAGGACAAGGCAGGGATGGGGAACAAGGGTGAGGGACAGGGAGGATTGCCCCATCCTGTGCATCGCACGGGGCCCTGCTAGTGTATATAATATTTACGCATATAGATATGTCAGGTTTGGGTTGGCACTTGGCCAAGGCCTCAACACTAACCCAATCCAAAGTTAAGTAGGGTTCATATTTAAGTGGACCCAACCCAACCCAACCCAACTTTTTGGGATTGGATTCAAGCTAACCCAGTCCAAGTTGTATTCTAGATAGTAGACACTGCTCAGGGACTAATTCCAAATTAGTTAGTTTTACACGGAGTGTTTGTTTATAAAGCTGACACAGACCAGATCAGGTTCAATTCTTGTGAACCTGTCTACTTGTTATCTTATTGAACATTTCATTTCTGCAATTTCTCATAGAGATTTATGTTATGTCTTTACTCTTAGATTTGGTAATTAGAAGGAGCTTTTGTGGACTTTTTATTTCCTCTTATCCACTTCTTCCAGTTGTTATCCAAAAAGAATACAAGTAGATTAAATGGAAAATATGTCGGATTGATTCATGCCCCAGTGGTTGTTTTGGAGAATCCAGATATTGAACAAAAAAACCAGAAAACCAGAAAAGAAATGCAAAAGGGATCCCAGGAAAAGAAAAAGGCAGAAAGGTGTTAACTAGGTATTAACAAGGTGATGCTGTATCACTTTCATACACTTGTTGAAGGGATTTCTGTATACATGTATGAAACAAGAAGATGCCAACAAGAGCAAGACTTGTCAACTTGTACAATGACACAAGGAATATCCATGGCGCATAGAGTTCTTTGTAAGAAAGAAGGTATCTGAGAAGGGCATTTAATCTTCATCATCCACTTCATGAAAGGGAAGTGGCACAGTCTTGACAGCTCTGAACTTCCCAGCATTATTTAAATGCTCATTCTCCAACCTGCCCAATATATATATTTTTTAATTTAATCTAAGAGACCAGATAGGAAGAGACATTTATATGGAGAATATAAAGAACAGTCAATCTTATTGTGCTAATTCCATTAAATAGAATAATCCCTTGTACCTGTAGAAATTCCATTGGCCACGTCGAATCACTTCGAGGGCTGCTAAAAACAGCCCAGTTACTCTATAGTCAACACTGCCAAGGTTGGAATGGAGAACCGTTTGTAACCAAGCAAGCCTTAGAATGAGGTTGAGACCCTACATGAGACATCAAAGTTTACTCAAAATTTACAATATAGTAGTCATATAATATGAATCGGGAAAAAAATATTAGCTTGAATTTCCATTTATTTTATAACCCTGTTGAGTGTTGACACTCCATAACTTTTGCCTGGTTTCATGATTCATAGTTTGCCTTGCTTGCCTATAGGGTCATTGAATTAAGAAGAAGAGTTGGTGTTGCTTGGTGTAATGGTAAAATCTCAGGCTGAAAAGATATGAGAATGCAGGTTCGAGACTGCGAGGAGCCACTTTGCGAAAAAAGAGGCCAAAGGTTGGGTCTGTATCAAGTCCATCCTTCCCAAAACCCCAGATAGATGGGACCAACATTGGGTAATGGCCCTTTATTAGGTGTTGATCGCAAATAATTTGATCATTGCACTACCCTTTTTGCAGTTTTTACTTGCCTGTCATTTGAAGATTTTTCTTACAAAAAAGCTGGTTTCCTTAGCACAAGATCACTAGATATTAGATAATTAATGTTCTCTCTTTTTATCTCTACTGTTCTAGGCAAGGGTCATAAATTAGCATGAATGGTGCTAATTGTGCAGGGTATAAGAATTTTATAGCTGTGAGAGTGAATGAGAAAGCGCCAAGATATAACCAAAGGAAGCTTTGTATCAATCAAGACAATTAAATTGGCATTGGAGGTGAATGTAGTGGATAGGGAGAGGTATACCATGGATATGAAGTAAATGATCTTTCGTCGGAGCATCAATTCATTCCTTAGCCATGGGTTTTTGGAGTGAAACTGTAGCAAACCCCAATCCTTTACAAAGTCCCAGTACAATTGATATACAGTTGCAACACTTGAGATGATCACAACTAAACAAAGATATCCAATGCTCTGTTCTTTCTCATATGCCAATTTTGCACCGGCTGCCAACATTGCTGATACATATTTGCCTAGATTGACAAGGTGGCTTATCTGTCCTTCATCAAAGTATCTCCTAGCACACTGCACTCCCAGTAAAGCAATGTTCCAGTTAGAGTTTATTTGGTTTGTTTATTCATAGTTTCTACTGCAACTTAAGAAGAACACTTTCACCAATGTAACTTGCACAAGTTCAACCCTTCACTGACATTAGCAGAAGGAACTAAAGGAAATATGGCATGTCTTCTCTACTAGAACTAATTTTGCACTAAATAATTTAAACAGATATGTTTGTTGCAAACCTGCATTGCTCTCCAGTAGTAAGGCAGGAAGGAAACAGCATAAGCCAGATCCCTGTAATGCTTGGTCCTCATGCAAAACCCATAGTCCTGAGTCCTGTAACTTCCAGTTATGTAGTAACATGCAACATACTCTAGGTTCCTAAGCATTGGCACCTGTTTCAATAATGAATTGTAAACCATTTAATTAGCTTTGGCTGGATACAAATGGTTGGAAATGATAATTCAAATTATCAAATGGCAATTCTTTAGGGGGAGGGGGTTAATAAGTAAAGCCTACCTGACTACAGAGTTGATCAGCCATGAAGAAGTCCAGCATGACAACCTACACAGTTGACAAAAAATTAACAAAACTTAAAGAAAAATATTAATCTAAATAGATTTGATATTCCAATTAAAATTAATTAACCTTCCTGAAGATGATAATACCTTGTAAAGAGGTGATAAGATGATATTCCTCATCATTCGGAGGAAACAAAGCCGAGTCGTTTGATAGAAGATGTTGAAAGGACACACAAGCAATATCAAAAAAATCTGCACAGACAAATAATTTGAATCTTAATGGTCCTTGTGTTTTTCTCCTTTCATGTACATAAATAAAAATCAAAACAGTTCCCATGGTGGTTCAGCAGCAGAGCAATTAAAAAGGAATTGGTCTATTTTGTTATGGCACTAAAAAAACAAACAAACACAACAAGGAACAAAAGGTCACCTCCCAATAGTTTTATGTTGAAGAACAAAAGAATTACCAGTAGCAGAAGGCCAGGTATTGCTTGAACTTCAGTCGACGAGTACCCCCTTGCAATAAGGGACAAGTGGACAAACATGATCCCCACTACCACAGTCATTGATGTGGTACAGATCAAGAACACATCTCTGTATTTCAGCTCCTTAGTAGGGGCAAGTTCAAATATAAAGCTGTAGTTTATGCGAGTCTTTCTCCACATGAAAATGTTGCAACCATACAAGAAGAAGTGCAGAAATAGAAGGCTGAACATGCTGCAAACAGGGGTTACAGATGCATAACATAGACCACGTTAGTATTACCAGCAAAAGTACTATAGAAAGAAAAAATATATTAATTAATTATGGCAAACTACTTATACTAAAAAGTTTTTTGAAGCAAAATACTGACCTCAGAACAGGATAAACAGTTTCCATGTATACTGTATCTGTTTCCTGAGTGTACATCTTGGTGATATGCGCCATGATGACATATCCAGCCAAGAGTGCTATAAAACATCCAGTGAAGAGCCCTGATTATGAGGCGTAATAATGCAAAGTTAGAACTATTGTGTTTGAAAAACTTTGATCTCTCTCTCTCTCTCTCTCTCCCCCTCTCTAGAATAATACCAATAATTTGACATATTTTATATGCAATATAATATTAGTAAATATATGAATAATATTAAGATATAGATAACTTTTAAATGTTTAAAATATATATAAAATTAGAAGTTCCTAAATTTATGGTCTACGTCTTTGAAAAATCCAAACAATTCATGAATTATATGCTTTTCCCGAATTATTTGCACAATTTTCCATATCTTTGAGAAATTTGTAATTTGAAATGTTTTCTTAAAAGAACATTTTTGGGTAAATTTCTTAAAAAGAACATCAGTACATGCATTATATGCGAATTTGCACAATGGACTTAATGGTAATATCCATCAGGTGTGCCAGTGGGCTTTCACTAATGGGCTCTCAAAATTCAAGACCATGTAGGGTCAGGATTTTGCCATCTTGGGCCTCAAATGCAAATAGCCTAGCATTGACCCAACAACTTTCTTTATAGTCTACTAATAGTCTAATAGTGTGGGACAAAGCTTGATCTTTTTAGGCAAGGTCTTGTGGGTCCCTATTACCATGTCTTGTTTTACAAAGTGAACCATCGCTCACAAGCTTCAAACCTCTTCAGTCTCCACTAAAATCAATAATTCAGAAAAGTTGTTTGGAGTTAATTATAAGAGTTTCTTTCTCTAACTACAACTACTTTTGTGTTAATTCATATCAAGTCATTATATAACAAAATATATTCTCAAGCTATCATAAAAAAAAAAATCTAGATGAAGATTATTACCAATGAAGAAGGTTACAGCATGAGATTCTTTATGCTGGTGTGGCTTAAGATATTTCATGGCCTTTCTTCGGCCATCTTCAGCAAAGTGCTTAATAAAAAGCTCCTCAACTTCATCAGCTAACTTGACCACCTGCACCATAGTGAGTTTTATTTATTAGCAAGTTTAAATGGTTATTTACTTACAAATCAAAGCCTAATTACATGTGTGAAGCATGCATATACAAGTTAGATATGTGTAAATCTATGGCCGTCCAAATGGTACTTGACGCGTCGGAGGAACACTATGTCTCCGGTGGTCATGTATGAATCAACAGTAACATATTCATGGTTATATGTTGTAGGCATGCTTATTGTCTTTAGTTCTTTTTCTTAATTTCTGGTATCATTAAGTGGCTATATATCCATTTACGCATAAAATGTTTCACCAAAGAAGTTGTTTGATCAAGAAGAATTTGCCTTGTCTGAGCTGCTGAAATAGGAGCTCTCAACCACTTTGAGATAGATGGGTAGAACTTGTTTCTCAGTAACCTGCAAGAACAATACAGAATTTATATAAATCTCATCAGTTCTGTCAAAACTTCAACCCCAATCAGAAATTTATTTATTTTTATTTATAATTATAGTAGCAGTGACCTACTTTATCAAATTTCTTCAGTATCTTTACAAAAGCAAGCATATTCAAGTGTCTGCAGCATCAAAACCACCACAATAAGAAAAGCTATTAGACTTGTTTGTCTTTTTCCTTATTCTGTAGCTTAAGAAAGCAGGCTTAAGCTTTGACATGATATACCTGTAAGTTTTCAGGTAACCCAACCCTTTATAGAGCTCAGTGAAAGCTCCTCTGATCATTTTCTCGGCATGATGTAGCTTCTTTTTATTGATTTTTAACTTATTATTTCCTTCTGGTCCACCTTTCTTAGACTGGTTAATCAAATCATCCCAAACCAAGTAAGTGATCGCTGAGAGGGTACGACTAGGCGTCGTTAGTGGGATGCTTATCTTCACATTCTTTCCTTGGCAATCGATCACACGACCTGAAAGGGTTCTCATCCTTCCTTCCTCTCTCTTCATCCTAATTGATTTTCCAATCTCATCTGATCTTGGAGATTCTGAGAATTGCATTTCATTTCTTTCAAATTCAGCCATGGAGTTGTCTTGAAGATGTTCCTGCTCTGTCATGTCCTTAATAGACTCATCGTCTTCAGTCAAGAGATAGAAAAGAGAAGATATTAGACGATGCATGAATGCAATAAACCCATGAATGTACAGAGTTTGAATTTGAAATATATATATATATATATTACATACCACAGGAGATTGTGCATGAGATGGAGGGATCCTCTTTCGAGTCCTCAGCAGAGTTTTCTTTCTCTCTTTGTTGTTTGAGCGCGGCTTTGAGCTCAACGAGAATTTCCATCTGTTTCTTCAGTGACTCTCCTCTCTTAATGAATTCTTTCTCCTTCCTCTTGTAAAAGTCATTGACTTTGTTAAGCTGGAGATCTAGGCATGCAAAGAAATCCTTGGCAGCATCTGTATCAGCGAACTGCTCCAGCAGTTCAGTCTCATACATGTCCCCATTACTATCCGAAGAAGCCAGCTTCTTATGAACCTAATGAACGTCACATATAAAACATCAGTATACAATTATAATTACATATATAGAGATGTGTGTGTGAGAGAGAGAGGGAGAGTACTTGGATTGGTCCATGCTCTCTGTGATGATGGCCATAAAAAGAGAACTTCTTTAGAGGGGAGAAGAAGGTGTGAGCTAAGGAGCTGTGTTGATGCTTGGAGGGGGTGGAGTTATCGTTAGGGAAATGCATTTTCTTGAGATCCTTCTTGAGTTGCCAGTAATCAACAAAGGCCTCTTTCCATTCAGGGACAAGCTGACCCTCAAACTGTTTAGAGAACTTCACCATCTTTACTCTCTTATGATTGAGAGAGAGAGAGAGAGAGGTGCAGAGCTTTGGCACCTTGGAGATGGTTTGTATAACGGTGTAAGGTTTGGGTGTGCTCCAATGGAAGCCCACGATGGTGTTATTTATGGTAGATGAAAAGGAAAGTGATTGATGTTACTCGTACAGATGCTTGACAGCACATACTATAATATCCTTTGCATGTATATATTATTCTGGACCCCCCCACTTGGATGATACAGTGGCTGGGTTCGCCGGAACAAATGACTCAGCAATCAGCATGCGGCCGGCGACTTTCCCGCAAAGATGCTCTCTCCTGGAACATCTGGAAAAGCTCGATATCTAAAGCGGGTCATTTGAGAGCGAGAATCACTGAACACTCCCCAGCTGCTATTTGACTTGTAAATAACTCGTGTAAACTCAGGGAAAGGTGTATTTTGGCTAACACATTGCACCACAACACACAAGCATCAGCTCCCAGTAAACCAGCCTCATTTTGCTACAATCTGAATTGGCTAGGGCTAGCTAGCTGATCAGTGAATTGAAGCAATTAAGTTCGGCCAATCAACCCACTGGTACCGGTACCAGCTTTGGGCTTGATGAGATGGGGTTGGAATTAACTGGTCCATAGGGTCTAGCTTTTAAACAAATCTTTCTCTCAATACCCATTACCCAAGTTGTCGTAATCAATGTTTTCAACTCATCATTGACCCAGGTGGTGGTTGGACTGGTGATCTGGTCCATATGGTCCAGGACTCCAGGTTTCCAGGGCCTCCAGGCCAAGGTTTTAAAACACTGGTCCCAAGCTGTGCTTGAGATATGACTCAGAGTACCCAACTGGCCCAGTCTGGCCCATCCCATGTATTGCAACAGAGTCTATGACTGGCTCCATTAATCAGATTCTTTGATCAAAAGACTTGTTAGAGAGGTGGTCCACCCAGTGAGCCTGGCAAATTGGGCACAAATCACAATGAATGCAGCAAGTAATCCCAACTCAGAGAGAGCTTGGGTTGAAAACATATCCTCCACAACCAATATTCAGTCATGACCCTAGTTTTCGTTCAGACTATTGAAAGGCATAAATCCCTTGTTTGTGACATTATCGACTCTTGTTCTTTAAAATGTTCAATAATTATAAACCACATTTTAGGAAATCTCTCTCTATAAAAGAATAATATATACTTGGCCTACTATCACTGTAGCAGTGGATAGGTTCCATGTTCGATTTAGAAAGAAAAATTCGAAACGGGTGAACGTTGATCCGTTCCCTTTCCGCCTTTACCCTTAAATTCTTCACTATTGAATTGTAACATCGTCACTATAATTGCGGAAAATTGACAACGTGCTTCCCCTTATGTGGCTGACTCAATGATACGTTTTTGTTTTTGTTTTCGTTTCAACCCAACAACCCATTGGATTCGATTCTCTCTCTCTCTCTCTCTTATAATATTCTCTTGTCTTAAAATTATTTATATTCTATGTACTATACAAGTATATCTTAAATTTGGTGGTTATATTCTTTGTTCAAAACACGTATATATTATATTTTGGCTTGTCAAATTCGGTTTCCTCCAACTTGCAACACAAATGCCTCACTTTATTTGTCACTAAAAAGTGAAGCGATTAAGGGGTATTAATTTTCCAATGTAAATTGTTTTTTCTTGCTTTGCTGGTTCTAAGAACAAAACAAGACAAAACCGATTGAGTTGAAAATTGGTTCTTAAAATAAAAGCATAAAAAACATGTTCGTGGTTATGCATGTTTTTCGTTTCCAAAATTGAAACAAAAAATATGTTCTTGAATTTTTTTTAAAGTTTTGTTTTTTCATTCGATTATTTAATATCAAGTTCAAGTTCTATAAATCATACAATTTCTACATTATCAAATTTATTTTAGCTTTCCAAAACAACTTTGCAGTTCAAGAACATAAATAGACACTTGCTGATGCAACCATTTCAAATGGAAAAAAACTATGATGCTGGAAAGACATGACACCAGAAAAGCTTTGACCAATCACAGCCCCCCATGTATTTTGGTGAAAACCAACCTGATTGGTTGCTAGTTAATTTTTTTATGCCGATTGATTGGTTGTAAGTTTTTCCAATATAATGTCTTTCCAGCATTATAGTGGAACCTTTTCAAAAAAATATTCATGTTGTATAACACCCCTAAAAAGCACTTGATTATGAACAAATTTGCTCTAACCATGCATGAGATTGGAATTCAGGTATATGTTTGGCATTGATGCTGCATATACAACACCGTTTTGTGTGAATTGGAAGCACCGTTTTCTCAGAAAATAGTGTTTTTTTTGGAAACATTGCTATTAGGTAGGACGTTTTCTGGGGCAATAACAACACTTTCTGTTTGGTACCAGTGCTCCATATCTATTTTCAGCACTGGTACCCATTATAGGAAGTCTACGTTACTACCACATCATGTTTTGCTGGCAGCAATGAGCTCCAAATTGAGAAAATGTCAAATTCAACGTTTCCCCATGCCACACCTTCTCGATTTTCAAGGTGTGATTTGGAGAACATTTTTTTTTGGAAAAAACGATTCTAAACATGTTACCTTTTTTCTGGAGCACTGATTCTTCCAATATAACACTGATGGTTCACCGTTTTCTGGAACAATGACATCAATGCCAAACATTGCCCAAGGCAACTAATATCTCAATGATCTTTTTCCTAGATGGGGTGGTTCAAATTAATTGATTGTTTAACAATGAAAATCTCATGTGGGTGGGTTTGATTCATAATTTGGTGGGTTATATATATGTAAATAGGTTAAAAGAAACCGAAAGAATTAATCTAGCCCCTCTTATGTATCCAAAATAATAATAATAATAATAATAATAATAATAATAATAATAATAATAATAATAATAATAATAATAATAATAATATCACACAAAAGTTGAAACTAGTTTGTTTGCTTTGAACTTCTTATATGTTACCATCTTTTTTCTCTTTTTATTACATTGGGAAACATGCTTTTTCTATGTGGCATTTTAGTAGGGCAATGAGCGTAGGAATCCTCAAATCTTTTCATCCATTGAACCAATGGAAAGCTCTATAAATGGTGGTCTGAGTAGGATGCCATTCTTTTTGGTGCGCACTCGCAGTTCAGCACCCTCCTCCCCCCTCAACAACCTTTTTCCAACTTCTTGTTCCTTCATTTCCAATCATATCATATAAATAATACAAAACAAGCTCCACTGTAGATCACATACAAACAATCCATCAGAGCCACGTGTACGTACGATCACCATACTTGGCCCACAGGTATATATACGTTTGTGGGGTCACTGCAGATATGGTGATATTCAACCAAAAGTGCTGTCAATCGGATGGTTACAATGAAAGAATCAAATGGAGGATCTCGATATATATTCCTAAGTTATTAAACAAACTAATAACCTGTTATTAATCAATTTCAAACTAAGATATATTATATATATATATATATATACATATATATATCTTGCCCACAGTAAGATAAAGATGATTCCGGGCATAGGATTCTAGTTTATTGAATGCCCTAATTTGATGTTAAATGCATCTATCAAAGAAGAATATCTCACTTGGGTGAAGAAAAAACCATGATATATACCCTCATTCACTTCATCAAAATGAATATATCCAAATCCACTTCGTCAGCTTTCTTTGATTTGGGTTATCCTCTAGTCTAGCTAACTCCATTTTGCTTCTAAGTATATAAACAAAAAGGTTTCCATAGTTACATAATTTTCTTTGTCCTCTCTATATCTGCACATGAGATCTTACCCACCATGGATTTAATTCTTCACGTATATGCCTTACTTTGCATCTTTCACGTGTTTCCATTCCATGGTTTACGGGAAAGCTGTGCACAGGATTCTGATGCTCACAGTGTCAGCATTGCAGAAACAACAAATCAAGAACCACACAAATTAAACCTCCATGAGAGAAGAGAGAGAGAAGGTAATGCAGTCTGTGGAGAGGATCTTATTGTCATGTCCGGTGGAAAGAATCAGTACCATCCTACCATCCTTGTTGGTTAAATTTTATGGAAGTAATTTTTCTTTATCTGGGTATTAAGTGACGGTAACATTACTTAGCGTTGCAGAAGTAAAATCAGTTGTTTTGCTCACTCAGGGAGTCCTGAAGACGACCTTGTGAACTAGGCTTGAAGATGACTATCTAGCACATTCTTCAATCCAGAAAATGATTCTGATCGTGTAAGTTCCTTTGTCTCTTGGTATAAGAAATGCAGGATATTTCAATAAACCAAGTACGATTCATTGATGTAGGATGCTTGTTATTTTCTCTTTTAAAAACAAAGGGAGAAAAACAGATTAACGTGGTTCAGGTTTAATTAATGCAATTTGATTGGCATCTAAGCCTCAGTTTCAAGTTGGGAGGGGACCAGTTTTTGCAGGGAATGCAAGTTCAAGGCCTAAAGGGCTCAAAGTACTCAAAGCCCACAACAATGGGCACAACAGGCAAGAGTTCACATCTCCGCCCCACAGCATATCCCCGCGTATTGAGAACATCTCCCGATGATAATACCGGTCTTGATGATGTCATCATCGGGAGATGTTCCTAATACACGGCGGGGATGTGCTGTGGGGTGGCTCCTGGTGGGGCGGAGATGTGATGTCCAACAGGTGTGTCAGCTCAGGCTAAATTAAAGGTTGTATACTAATTTGGCCAGGTTTGGGCTTTTTAAAGACATCATGAGCAGGCCAAGTGCTTTTATGCAGAAGACTAGAGTGAAAATCTTTGCCTTTTAAATTGAATAATTGTGAATAATCTAAGACATGATGCATCTTAAAGGATTAACTTTCCTTCATAAAGAAGGCACTAATTTAACTTGGTTCTAGTCTACTCTGGCATAGGGTTCCCTTTGGTCTAATTCTTTGAACTGAACCCTTTTTGATATTCAGTCATTTGTAGCATCATTACAAATCTAGCTTGGAAATGATATTCAGTCATTTCTAGATTCTTCTCTTACTAATT